CTAATATAATGCTAATTATTTTTCGAGTTATCGCTCAGGGTTCAGTGGTAATCCTAACTTTGTTCTCAGTGAAACTTCCAAGAATTTACAATGTCATCGGTTCGATGCTGGAAGAATACATGTTAAAAATGTAGAAAGATACTGTTCAGGACTCATTTTTGCAAGCATTCAAGGCGATATTGATAAAACAAGGTAGAAGCACTCTTTACAGCAAAGGGTTTCATATTTTGGAATCAATTGGTCATGCTTGATGTAAATGTGTAAAAATGGTCTTATGGCATGTGATTTCCGAGCATAATCCATGTTAAACGTCAAGTTTATGTCAATCCTCTCTACAAACATTAATTTTGGTCTCAATAGTACATAAAATAAAATGCTGGGGTATAATCATGTATCGATTTCTTCTACCGAATACACGAATATGCACGAGCATTATTATTTCCCATTAAAAAACGACAAAACTAAAATTATAAATACCGTGGGGAAGATATGGAATGTACCCTAAAGTGATGGCAAAACTGAGTCTGAGGTCAACAATACATTTTCAATGAGAGTTATCCAGAATTGCTTTTGACTTTTGAGATAGAAGTGACCTATTGCTATAAGTATTCGACCATTTCAGGTGATGAGAAGACCCATATGTGAATTTACCATACAGAAATAAGTTGAGATTGCATGCTGCACTGTCACGGTTCGAGTCCTTCTGGGTATATTAATAGGACGTACGCGAGCTCAAAACTGCTGTTCACCTTGAATGAAAACACCTTTTGGAGAAGCAAAGCTGCGTGAAATTCAATGGCAGCATCATATATATTCATATCATTGTAGGGAAATTCAGCTACCAGTCCTTCATCAACTTAAACTAAATAGGGTGAATACATCACATATAAGTCTCTGCAACATGAAAGTGACCACATGAAAGCATTATGTCATGGCAACCTAATCTGAATAGTGGGTCAACTTTCTCTCTAAAAGTGTTATATTTTCCTTGAAAACGTTTATGTTCCTTGTTACATAACCTGTTCGCCTATCGTTTTAGATAAAAACGCAAAGACATACATTCAGAACATGAGAACACGTGTCTATTTTTTCATCTTTTTTCAAACAGAACACAGTTAAAAGTGAATTATTTATTAATCTGATGTTATTTTCAATCATGCCAAAGGAATGCCTATTTGCAAGTAACAATAGTTTAAGCCTTATGACTAAAGTCTCTATGTGCTAATTTTAGCCCAGAATATTTATTACTTTTAATATATCAAATTTTGGTTCAGAACTGCGATTAGAGAAGAGATTAACAATAGAACCAACGTGCGTTGGCTTCTTATATGCATCCTTGCCCTGATAATATCCCAAAACGGTAATACATTATCCTACAGTATCCCCATTGTAATCTTAATCCTACTATCCATCTGGTCAATTAAGAACAAGAAATTATCTCATCTATCCTTTCGATGTTGTCAAAGCGCAAAATAATTATCCATTTATCTGACTGACATTGTTAGCGCCAGTCGTAAGCGCATCTCCAGTCTTGACGCCTAATTATTAACTAAAAGCGGAGCGAAACAATATCCCATTGCAAATCGGAAATAGACTAAGTTGTCAGCACGTTCACAAACTTTAGTCCAACATTGAGTAGCTATGAGTCACTTTGATACCTTATGTCGGCTTTTGTCTTTATACAAGCGCATATGTACATCAATATAGATAGATATAATCTGAGTATATATCGACAAGGGTGTCTTGGGGACTGTATAAACCCTTGACCTTTCGCTTGAAATGATAGTTTAAGTTATTATCTTTCAATGTTCGGAAAGACAAAAAAAATGTTTTCCCTTATTTCGAGCAGAAAAATCACAGACTTATGGAATGCCTACCATCATCTGTGCCGACAATGCCTCCCAAAGAACAACTGTCAACGCTGCTGGTGCGCATCCGCGGGCTGGCGCAGACTTGCAATTGCATCAGCCCAATTGAGTGCTGCAGCTGACCCGTGACCTGTGAGGTCGGTAGAGTCATCAGATGTGTCTGGTGGCGAGCCGGTGTCTGATGATGGTGCAACCCAACTGTTCCCGGCTGACCCAACAGTGGACCAAGCGAGCCGAGATGACTTTGACTCATCGGCGGCGTCCCAGTCGGCCTCGGCTGATGCGATGTGGGTGCGTGAGGCTGGAAGGCTGGTGGAGGCTGGGAGACTTGAGGCGGATGTCGAATTGGAAGGCCTTGAGACGGCCGAGCTGCTGGTCGTCCTGCGGGTTGGAGGGACAAATGAGCAGTTACCGTGGCCCCTCCAACAGCTCGGCGTCGGCCACAGAGACTCTTGGCTTGTCCCGCCTGTTTGCCAAGCCTCCCGACGCCGGTCTTTCTGTCCTCTTCATTCGTGTCGCCCACGTCAGCCTCCGTATCGTACGCCTCTTCGACGGCGTTCTCTTCATCCTCATCTCCGTCTTCGTACACCTCTTCCTCACTTTCATCCACCTCTTCATCGTCGTCGTCACGCAGAACCACCTCGTCTCCCTCGTCCTCCTCATCTTCTTCCTCGTCTTCCTCCTCCTCCTCCTCCTCGCCTTCCTCACCCTCATCCTCCTCACCCTCTCCCTCTTCATCTTCTTCTGCCTCTACAGATCTGCTTAGGAATTCACTCGTCCTTATCCCGTCAGCCTCTTCCAAATTTGGAGCGCATTTGTCCACTCGGTCACTCTGCTCCATCGACTCGTCACCAGCCTCGTAATCCTCTGATAGTCGCTTCGTTCCCATCTTGCTTATCTCCTCTATTGCATCACTTTTGTCGTTCAGCTCTTTGTCACGAGCACCAGACACCAGCTCTGTTTTGACGAGCAGGCCTGTTCTCCGACCGACCGACAGCTTCAACTTGCGTCGTTCTCTCCTCATCAGACTGGGTCTTGACTTGGCCTCTTTGCCTATCGATACCTCCTCACTATCATCCTCTTCCTTATCTCCAGGCGCCCTCCTCACAGCCTCTTCAGCATATCCAGCCTCACCCTTTTCCAAGAGGTTCTTGTTGTCCAGCTTGACGACATCCAGAAATCGCTCGTTGTCACCAGCGCCTTGGATGATCGTCTCCACCAACTCTTGCTTCCTCCAGCCTTCTGGATTCAGCCTTGGCAACATAACACCTCTGCCGAGTTCTCTCTTGTCCTCTTGCCTTTTTGCCATTTGTACCAGACGTCTCGCTCGAAATCCCTCTTTCTCCTCTTCCTCCTCCTCCTCCTCCTCCTCCTCCTCCTCTTCCTCCTC